ATACATTCCACTTCGGCGCAACACCGCGTCTCCAACTCTGTCGCACCAACCGATGCACAGAATCCGTTGCAAACATTGTTGATGGAACTGCTCGAGATATCGCACATCCCACCGGCACATCATCCACGTTTCACTGCCGTATAGAAGAACGGACAGCACCATGGATTTGTACACCATCAGCTTCGTACCAATAATACGCTGCTGGTTGTTCAACACTCGGTACTCTAGCTTCCCGAATGTGGAAGCTGCCTTCGAAATGTAGATACGCAACTCATTGTGTACCTGTTGGTCAGTCGAAACAATACTCCCAACGTAACAAAAGCGGGAGGTGATATCCAATACTTCAGCACCAATGCTGATTTGAGGCAATATTGCAGATTGCACCTCCGGTGAAGGCTGAAAGATACAGACCGTTTTGCTTGTGTCGATCGTGAGCCCGAATTTGGCCGCCGTCGAAGCCAGAGCACTAGTCATGTGCTGCAACTCATCCGCGCTACGTGCAAACAACGTACAGTCGTCATCAAACGGCAACATACGGATAGTTGTCTCACAGACTAGAGTTCTCGCACCGAATCGACGGATGTTCTGCAACCCACCATCAATACGGTGCTCCACCTGAGCACCGTAAGCAAAAGTTGCATGAAAAGCACAATACATCATTGCATGATAACTTTTAACCAGGGAAGGAGCTAAGACAGAGCTTTGTTTCACACCAGATACATCTGCAAAGCCATCCGACGTCTGTCCACTCAGTTGCACCCTTGCCCGCATATCAATATGCAGACATTCAATTAGACCTACAAACTTACGCTGACAACCAAACTTACCCAGCACTAGCCACAACGCTTCGCAGTTCACCGTATCAAATGTCTCGGCAAAATTAACAACAAGCAATTAAAAAGACCGGGGTTCTTCTCTACAGTGCTCCTGCAACTGATGATCCGCAAACACCATATCTTTGGTGCTGCGACCCCAACGGAATCCTTATCGCTCTTTCTCCACGTTCGGTTCCACAACCTGACTGACGAGGCGGTTAAGCAGGATTCTGGCTAGCAGCTTGCCCCCACAACTCAGCAAGTTGATGCCACGATAATTCGTACAACATCGCTTGTTCGCTTCGCCCTTGTACAGTGGTAGCACAAGGGCATCCTTCAGCTTAGGAGGCATCTCCTCCTCAATGCACACGGGCTGCACCGTGGTGCAGCGCCGTCGATAATGCAGGACCGCCGTGTTTCAATACTTCAGGTGGGATCCCGTCGGCACCGGCACATCTGACGTTTCGCAGCTGAGCAAGTGCTTTCTGCGTCTCATCCAGTGTCAGCGTATCCCACAAACTCACCACACTGTGCTGCTTCAGGACGGTCAATCTCCGAATTGTTGTTCAAGAGACAGTCAAAGTGAGTTCGCCAGATCTGCATTGTGTCTGCAGTCTGTGAGCAGGTAGCTCCTGAACTACCACTGATCAGCGTCCTCAGTGGCTTCAACCTCCATCCTTACATCGCCCTCAAAGAGTTAAAGAATTTCTTGTGTTGGCGGCTTTCAGCGTATCATTCTATCTGCTTCGTCTTCTCCGTCCACCATGCATTTTTAATGCATCGTAGCTCCCGGGTCAATCGTTATCCACTTTGCGGAACTGATTCTTCTTCCCCGAGTTACTGGGGTCTACCACATGTGCAGCAAATGCCACAGTTTTCTCAGACTGCAATGCGTTAATCGTCGTTATGTTCTCATCAAACCAAACGGGTCGCTTACAGTTCGCGCGCCCGATGGTTTCCTCTGCAGCAAATGTGGTGCCACAGGTCGCGCACTGTGGCTATGCATTCTCCATCACACAGGCGCGCAGCTATCGCCTTCTTCAAGTCAATGCGCTTCCCTATAGTACCGCGGGAGCGAATGTTCAATTTAAGCCGGTACACGACAAGTGGGAAATACACAGATGGACAAAATAACATATGTATAATTTGGTCCGCACCAACTTGTGATCAGTGCCACACTCAGCTCCACGCAGTACACGTGTCATGCGCACTTCACGCATATCACGCTGACGTGCGATAACATAGTCGAGCAGGTGAACATGACCACTCTGTGCGTGCGTGCAAGTTGCTATATCACTCGCACTCAGTGCAAACCGAGTGTTCTTGATTGTCAGGCCGTGAACGGCGCACAGTGACAGCAGTCTGTTACCGTTCGCATTCGCTGAACCAATGACATGCGGACCGATAACATTTGTCCACACCGATGCATCGCGCCCAACGCGCGCGTTGAAATCATCCAGCAGAAATAGTCGATCGCTCTTCGTCACAGGCTGAAACATGAAGGATAACTGAGTGTAGAATTGATCACGCGTGTCATCAGGATAACACATGTTCGGGCCATAGGTGCTGATAAAGGTAGGCGAACACTCATCAGTCGTGCGTTGATGCCGGTTGGGTCACCCATCAGCTGGGCATTTAGGCATTCGGATATTACAAATACAACCCCATGTTCACGTGGTGCTGCGGTGGCGTTGCCCAACTAGTAGAACGTATGGCTAGCTCCAACTTCATGCAACTTATCTTGCTCAGTGAGGCGGGTCTCGATGTTGTAGCGCGCCAGTGCTATCGCGGCCAGCGTAGTGCGTCGCTCGAGACGCACACTCATATTCCGGTCGAACAGTGTGCGCACATGACAGCACCAGATATTGAGCGATCTGTGCGGAGGCATACGATTGCATTGGCGGGCAACCGTATGGAGGGTGACGTCCTGGATTGGAGGAAGTAGTGGGTTTGATGAGACGGGGAGGGAGATTATGTACGGAGGAAGAAGAAAGAATGAAGGCGCCAGCAGCAGAGAAGGAGACCATGTTCCTAAGGCCAATGCGCGACGGCCGACGCTGCATGGATTTATTATTTTTGGCATAATTCATGATTTGGGGGTTGGACTAGGGCACTGTCAGGACGACCACACTTGATAAGAGAACGAATCGGGTTCTCAGCCAAAGCTTTCGATAAATTATACGCCCGAGAGGCAGCAGCCCAGCGCCATGAGTCAGTGCACCGACTTACGCAGAATTTTGTCGCGGATTTTAACTAGAAGAAGCTTGTAACCCAAATCCCACCCAACGGTCTCCGCGAGGAGGCGTCCATGACATGAGCCCAGAGCCCAACATTAGCAGTAGCGGGTCGACGAGCTGTCAGGATCTCTCCACCACAAGCTTCAGGGCCCCATGGGCTCTCCCGCCTAGTGTTACATACCAACATCTATAACCCCAATTTCAGCAATTACTGACAGCCTGATTATTGTAACACCTGTGTTGAACAAACTGCTCTAACTGCGCACGTACAGTTCTCCTGGAATCAACAACATCCAACTGACGGCGCTGAATGCAACAGTAACAAAAATGGCAAAGCGTTTATTTTGGCTTTTAGAAATGTGCTTGGATAAGCAACTTGTGCTTTCCAGGTAAAAGCATGAGTTTATCATGCCAATTTTCAAAAGCAGTAGTGAATTGGAGCCCGCAGACTAAATCCCAGTGGTTCTCGTCCTTGTACTCTCAAAGATGATGGAGCTAATCATGACTGAGGCTTTAGTTGACTATCTAGATCACTAAAACATAATAACACCTGGGCTGCGAGATTTCCGCCAACACCGTCCATGCACAACCAACTTGCTGATTGCACGCAGCAGTTGGACGGAAGCGGCCGACAAAAGTAAATGGGCTGACTTCATTTACCACGATTTCGCTAAAGCGTTCGACCTCCTGGATCATCGCATTCAGCTTCACAGAATCGAAAGCCATGGAATGGGTGATCTTGTCCTTGGGTAGATCAAATTTTCTTATAGGATCGGCAACTGCATGTTAGAGTTCGGAGTGCGCTGTCTGATCCGATTCATGTCGAATATGGAGTTCCACAATAATTAGTTCTGGGGTCACGTCTGTTTCTCGCATTCACTAATCAGTTTACATATATGATTGCATCGAACTTCTTGCTTTTCGCTGACGATATTAAGAACTGGTGGACGATCGCTGATCATGGGGATCACCATACCTTTTAACGAGAACCGGATGGTGTGTGTGAATCGTCATTCCATAATCTGCTCAAGATTAATTCGTCAAGGTGTAAGATAGTCCACATCCGTTACCAGCCGAAAAACCTATACAAAGTTAGAGACTATAATCTGCAACCAATTACCTAGGTGTGCGACCTTGGGGTATTAGAGTGCTGGCTGATCTGGGCTACTCATAACAATCTGATAAGACGTCAGAGACTGGGAACCAAGACGTCGGGCGGTTTGATTCATCTATCTGTCCGCAATTGCTAAACACACATGTGTAGCGTCATGTGAAATTAGCAAGCCAACCATGGAGACCCTGGCCCAAGCAAGATTTCGCAGCGCTCGAGTCCACTGCGCAGAGTCACCAAGCACGTCAAAGGGTTGTTGCACCTTCCATATAAACTTACGCTGGTGACTAAGATTATACTGCAGTCGTTATCAACGCCTACATGGCGATCCAATAATGGCCTACCAGATCTTGAGGAACCTCATCCAAGTCTTCGCCGCCTACCACAGCTCAAAGACAACACGAATTTGAGGGGCCATGAGCTCAACTTGCCCGCACAATACAATGGGCTAGAATGTCGGCGAAACTGTTAGTGTCTCCGTGTCTGCCAATCATGGAACGCCCTCCCAAATTACGTAGTTTCCGCCCCTCTTTACCAGTGTTTAAAGAACACCTTGACATTACCCTAATTCACCAGTGTAATTCCACCGACTATCTAATGTGACGGAAGTTGCAAAACCAGCATTAACCCACACTATCAAAATTAGTTCTTTTCCGCATGCCTGTGTGCACACACTGTTGAGTTCACCAAAACGATTATTATTTTGTCTCTGTTTTCTTTCCACCTTTCGGCGGTTCTCTTTCTGGTCGTCCTACGGGACTTTTTAAGCATTCGCTTTTCTTACCCGTAATACGCCATTGTTTCATTGTTCCGCCCATTTACAAAACGCATTTGCAGAATGCCGAAACCGCGATCAACAGTGGTGTCAGCCGGTTGACTGAGTGGGATATCATGTTTGAACAGGCTGTGAACGAGTTGCGCGCGAGTGAAAACAACCTCAAAAGAATACCGGAAGCAAATGAAACAAAAAACCTGCATGAGGTCTCCCGGCTGCTGAAACTAACGCAGGTGGTCATTTCACTTCTTGTTTGAATTCGTCAGCAGCATCTCTATTCAGTTGTTCTTAGTAGACAATCAACGTGAGCTTTGTGTGAATTAGCTAAATTTATAAAGCCTTCAAATATTTATTCTATACAAAGTCCCAACCTTTTTTGCGAAAGCAGCCTAGCAGACCTCTGAGTGCCACCGTTCGGCTGGTGACCATGAGAAGCTTGTTCCAAGACCCCGGCTGGTCACATGTATTAGAAGCTTCCAAACAAACATTATATTGTTTTGCTAAAAGTCCCGAATATATAGCAACCAAAAATAATCCTCGCTTTAACAAATGGTATTAAATCGTTCTGCTTGCCGGCACGGGGTATTTTAAACTTGTGAATTGCGCAAGGAATTACTGAAGGATTTGTTCTTCCGAAAACTTTTACGAATCTTCCAAGTGAGAGCTGTGTAATGTTGATGAACCACTCGCGAGATACCACTTTGGGAAAACAGGATTCACAGCTACATAACCGTTGGATATATTAGTGTACTATACCCTATACGTGAGACCGACGCTTCATATCTTCCGAAAATATCCATATGAAGTATGTAAGACAAGTCATTTCGCCTCAAATTAAGTGGACGATGCTTGCTCCCGTTACCGCTTCCATTATTCCATAGAGCTACCATGTTACAGTGGTAGACTCTCCGATAAGTAGCATTAGAACTGACCTATTTCGAAATATTGGTACATACCTGGAACCGGTCGCGAAGTCATGAGTACTTTTAAACAACGGTTGGCATAATATTAATAATAATAATAATAATAGGTATACTTCTCATCAAGTGAGAATCTGTGTCCATACTTGGCACAGATCATATAGGTACAGGTAATCTCATGCCCTTGCATGGGTAAAATAATCATGTGCTCTTATATTTTGTTTGTTTCTGACAGCATGTGTCCTATATGGTTGTGTTTTATTCGAAGATAGGGGGCAATTTTGTAGTTTGAATATGTCCTAGACACTGAGGGTTAATTATACCTTGTAACTTGTGAGATTATCCCCAGTAGACGTTATCTGGGCTTTCGTTAAGTAGACTCTCAAGTAATTTTCTCCACGAACAAACGGACGCAAATAAATCAATTGTATATTTCTCGACGGTGCGAAACACAAGCCGATTGCGTTGTCTGATCATTATACGCAAACTATTCGGATGGCGAAGAAAATTTTCTGAATTTAACGATGTAGGTTTCAGAGTCATTATGCGGTGTTCAATACTTTAAAAGTAATAATGTTTGCCGAAAGTAGATCATGAGAATCAATGCAGACATAGAAGCAGTGCAAGCAAAGTAATACGACCATCCGTGGAACCGATTCCTGGGAACCTGCTTCCATGCTGAATAGTCAACTGAAACGTCCCATCCACATTTCCGCGCATCATCTGCCTATGTGCTACTGTGGAATTACGGCAAGTGAGCCACCATTGGCTTGACTGGGATTTTCGGCTGTTGTTGTAAGCAACAGACCATCATCACGAAGCTTTTTTACGGTCGCTCTTATATGTAATAAGCTGTGAACATGTAGACCCATTTTTTGAATCTAGCACCATTTTGCCCATCGATGGGTTTGTGACAATTCGCCTTGTTTGGGTATAATTCTTTATCATGGAAGCTTCAATCCATCAACTCAAGAGCTCGGCACAATTGTGACTAACAACGGAAAGTAAAGACAAATAATGGAATAGAATGAAAAGTATACTGAGTAATTGTTGTATATCTCTCTTGAATGAGATGTGGTCTGGCTACTCTCTGTGTCCGTTTGTACAATCAATCGAAGATGGCGAGTAGATAAATGAATAAACGTCTGCATTCAGTATTACTTTCGAAGTATTTATGAACAGTGAAACTCCCGAACGATTTTTAGTTGCTTCCTTCCAGTGAAGCCAGACGAAAAGAATAGTAGTCATGATAGAAGTGAAGTTTGCGGACTAAAGCGTATGGGAAACTACGGCGTATCACTCGTGTGTAACCTCTAGGAAGGAACAGAAGATAATTAGCAGTGTGGAACAAAGGCAACGAAACAACGTAGAAAAACTGCACCAAGTTTCTGCCTTGGTAAGCTCAGATGTAACGGCAGGAGGAAAATTCGCATTAGTTAAAGTAGTAACTTCATGCCTCTGTTAACCGTGGCTGAATCGATAGAATCAGGCGAACAACAGGAAACGGTGTAGTTAAATCAAATCCTTCTCACACCAGTTTCATTAGGACAAGCATTGGTCATATTTGGTCTCAGCTTACTGATAGCCACTTCAGCGCTAAACAATGAAAGGAATGTCTTTCAAAATTTTATCCATGCTTGAAATGCATGTATATCACTTGGGAACCTGTTCATGCTATTGGTTAAAGGTTAAGGAAATAGTTATTCTACGATTTAGTTCGTGATCCTTTCACTCTTGCTTTGTAGTAGCGGTTGTTTTTCTAGTGTGATAAAGTACCGGTACGTTTAGTTGTAGAACAGGGTATTATGCATCTACTGTTCTGGTAGGTCATCAGAAAAGAGGAACAGGTTACGTCTCATCCTGCACAGCCATAATAGATCGAGTTGAAAAGCAATACATATCTCCATATATGATACTGTAGAAGAATAGCCCCTAAAAGGTTTAGTAAATGACCATTGCACTCTCTTTAATGCTACACGATCACTCACTGTGGGATTGCAAAACATTTTGGAGCCATAACCTAATAACGGCTGTGTTAGTATTTTGTACAGGGCGTTGTTTGGTCCGTTTGCAGTGAATGTTTGGAACAGAACTACGACGCTCCGACGAGCATGGTTTCCAAGTCGAAGTAGCTACCCAGTTTACAGCGAAGGATTGCACAGTCTCACAAGATTTGCTTATAATCATAAGGAATATTTCTCTTGGTACCGAGAAACCGAGCCCACAAAGGGACGGATCATGTTTACATTACAACATGTTCAGGCATGCGAAGCTGTCAATTGTTTGGCTTATTACAGGGTTACAATAAAGATATTTTTGAGATTACTTTCATTTGGGATTTTTGGCACCGTATGCCACTAGTTCGCGGGCATTCTCATTTGGTTGTTTTCGGTGCAGGTTGGTATTATGGCGGTGGTTTGACGAGGGAGGGATTAGTAAAAAGAGATAACAGTTGGATTCATTAATCAAAATCAGATGAGTAATACACGATCTCACTTAATAGACTGTAATAATGTAGTTCGTGCTATTTGTCAGTAGCAAGTTAGAGAGTTGCGAAAGGAAGGAAAAGACTATAGTGAAGTTACTCCAGTGGATCATCAAACTCAAGTTGCTTTATCAGAATAATATAGGCAGTATTCATCTCGTAGGGATTTAAGGCATAGCGTAGTGTCTAGACATTCCTTGGTCTAATTATGGAGTTGAACTAATCAAGTTGTGTTTTGGGTTGCCAAATGATTGGGATGCTGGGTGAGCTCAGTTGCATCCCTTTCAGCCTTCCCTTGTAGGTGGATAATTAGGATCTGCGTGACTATGCACGGTAAAGGTAACGTTGCAAAGGGAGAATTAAACTGATTAGTAGGCAAAGAAAAAAGCGCCTATTCATTAGTTAGGACTTATTCAGCTGCTTGTAGCCTTGAAGAAGAAGAAGAAGAAGCGAAAGACAGGGTGATTAGCAAGGTGTGCGATAGTTATCCAATCCTTAGTGTGTAGGTATAGAGGAACTGCACCACAACTAAAAGCGGGGCTATGGTCTACGGAATAAATTATTAGGAAATATCGGTAAGATTAAAAGTCTATTCCACAGAGAAGCAAATCTGGTGAGCAAGAACTTGGGCCGCAAATTTGTCCTGCATCGTGTTATAATCAGGGGAAAGTCTTGGTTGCGTTGGTCCTGCGTGAAACACCGCTGCGACGTTAGGGGGATAGATTGTAACCGACATTGTTTTTAATCAGATTATACAACAGTATCAACTCATGTTTAATAGTAACAGCCAAAGTGGATCGAGTTGGAGTTGCCTGCATCGCTCCCGATAGTTCTTGGTAGACTTTACTTAATAGATGCTTAGTACATGGGTGTTACAAGCTTTCTATCGCTGTTCTGTCAGTTCCTCATGTTGCCACATATTATGTTGCAACATCTCAGGATGGGACGAGTCAGGTATTTACAATGTTCAACTCTGGCTGCGATTTTGTGCATCTTATGAGATATATTAATCAGGCTTTTTCTGGCTCGTGCTATCTGGTATTCACTCTGTTCAGAAAAGTTAAAGGTACAGGGATTTCTGATTGCAATGTCGCGTGCAGACCGTTGTACACTCTTACATGTAATATATCGTTCGGGTAGCAAAAAATCGCGACACACAATACTTGACTTATATGCTGAGAACTTCAACATCCACCTGTCACAATATGTCTTAAGGGAATGAGGACTATCGTGAATGGGTGGTGGTCATATAAAGTGAAACCCATCAGAACTTGTTACTAAGTTTGCATCATCAGCAGCTAAGAATGTCGCGTCATGTTTAATCGCCAAACTGATGTCGTTGATATAACGCACACTTCCTTGTATAACCCTGCTGGTGACTGGATGCGCAGAAGAGCGATTTTCGCCTTAAGGTGACTGAGAGCAACCGTTCAGATATGAGGATTGCCAACCGAATAGTGAATTCTGGAATCCAAAGGAGGAAGATATCTTTATCAGTAACCGTTTGCAAGGCACACGATCAAACACATTTTGCGTGTTCAAGAATAGAATTAGGATTGCATATTTGCGTTCAATTGAGTCTGACATGTAACAATGTAACAATGGTTTATGACGGGTATAAAAGCAATGCTTGACAGGTCCCGTAGGATGATGAGAATTAACATCGTAAAATTAAAAAATCGTATCGATGAAAGTACGTGTGAAATGCATGACTCACCAAGGGATTGGAGATGCACATAATGAAGCTGGCAGGTTGTACAAGAAATTTTGTCAAGGAAACTATGTTGGGACTTGTCTATCAGCAGCCGTGAGTTGATGAAATTCATCA